GGTGGACCGGGTGGACCAGGATCTGGTGGACCAGGAGGACCGGGTGGACCAGGATCTGGTGGACCAGGGGGACCTGGTAGCCCAGGGGGACCAGGATCTGGTGGACCAGGGGGACCTGGTAGCCCAGGGGGACCGGGTGGACCAAGAAGACCGGGTGGACCAGGAAGACCGGGTGGACCGGGTGGACCAGGATCTGGTGGACCAGGAGGACCGGGTGGACCAGGATCTGGTGGACCAGGAGGACCGGGTGGACCAGGATCTGGTGGACCAGGAGGACCGGGTGGACCAGGTGGACCAGGAGGACCAGGAGGACCGGGTGGACCAGGATCAGGTGGACCGGGTGGTATCCATGGTAGGTTAACTCAAACAAAGATTAATCTATAAGAAAGAAATATTATTGACAAGATTGAAGGTTGACATTTACAACAAATAACTACCGTCGGAGAATGATTCTTCATAAAATTGAACGATCGACCAAACATGGACTTTAGCAACATTCTCATGTCATCTCAATTTTTCATTTTATAGAAAACTATGAGAGAATGGGATGCTTCAAAGACAAGCATAAAGCTAATAACCGACCTTTTCCTCAATTGATCGCAAACTACAGGGGGGGTAGGATTGACTGGAATGGTCTAAAGACGTCTGTTATCGRCAAGTGTGCTGCAGAGGCCAAAAAAAATGGGTAAGATTTTTTACACTACTTCGCTCCAACGGATGCAATGTACAGCCAGTGGGGAATTCCCAGCCGCTACTCACAATTGTCGAAGATCTAGTGAATCAGTCAATTCCTAAAGTTTAAGCATTCCTTAAGTTTTGGCATTCCTTCGTCCGGCCGCTCTATATCAAAATGTCAATCTTGAGATCTAGAACATCAGATATGCAATTTCCTATAGGGTACAGAATTCTAAGAGCACCATATCAAACAATTGCTTCAGAGAAAAATTCATTCGTTTGCCAAACTTTTGACCATATATGGCAATCTTACCTTATAAGGAAGTACGTTAAAAAGTTTTTTCAAGTTTATTTCCGCCTTTTAGTGCTTTAAAATGGCTAAAACTTACACTGAATTTGTAGAGAATTTGCTTTACAACATGTCGGCCATTATRATTTTGTCCTAGTCCCCTCCCATCCTTGAAAATAAGGAATCCCACAAAAAACACCCGCCAATGTCAGCCAATTGTTTGATATGAAACAACCGTAATCGTCGCTGAAAATAGAAAATAGAGGATATTACGTGGGCCCTTGTAAACACAATATTTTTTAGTTCTCACACAAGTGAGTGTACGCTTATAAAATTTGCATTCTACATTCATAATATTCTAGGTTCACCTATTTTGGGATCCAGTTTTATGGCGAATGTTGGAGTGGACCTGATGATGATATACTATACGACAAAGACGGTCCGTCCACAGACTGCTGGAAGGGTGTTGGTGGAGGAGGATCACTAATGGTATACATTATGAAAGGTGCACTTATATTATGTTACAATTGCTTCCCATTTAGGAAAATACGCTATCGTATTAACGTGGGATGCCTGTTAAAGGCAGTGACTGAAGTGACTGAAGTCACCACTAAGTGTCTCAAAGTTATGTTGACTACTCCGAGTCCCAAAGTCACTCGCCCAAAGTAGCTTTTTTATATTTTAAGTGGTTTTGTGCAATGTTTTCTAAAATCGGCTAAAATAACACTAATGTCCGTTTAATTTTTGTCTTTTTAGGGTCGAAGTAACTCTTTTGCAATCTGTTGAAYGAATCGCAAATAAATAATCTTGAACAAATAGTGTCAGTGTCTTATTGACTGTATCTTGGCTGTTTTTAGTAAGTGTGTTGAATTAAAAGTGAATGCTCAATTCTTAGTCGTAGTATTCTTGCTTTTAAACGACCCGCCAAATATTCATTTTACAGTCAAATGGCGGTGATATAATTTCACAATTGCATTTTGTATAAAGGAGGAATTAACTTAAGTAATTAGTTTAGCTTCAAATTAAAAACACTGATACAGGAAAATGTATTCTTTTACTGGTATGAAATAATAACTACTTCAAATGTATACTTAAAAATCAAATGTGATAAAAAAAATCAAAACCTACCAACATTACAATCTACGAATTATATTAACATGAAACTTGACGATAGTTTCTTTAACTAGCCTATAAAAAACGCGTTTTTATTGAAGAGACTGTTTCAAACGCTGTCATTGGCTAAACCTAAAGTCTAGCTATAGTAAGTTTTACTATACTCATTGCTTATCAACATATTGCGGTGGTCTATCAGGTTGTTGTTGTTGGTTAGGATAGCCGGCCAGCTGTGAGTTCTGTTCAGTTGGAAAATACCCCGGAGTATTTGATGTCTGTGTGGTGGTCATGACGATAGTTGAAGATGGTTGTTGCACTACTGCGCCGCTGTTCTAGAACCATAAATAAGGGTATACATTTTAAGTCGCATAAAAAACGGTATGCTACAACAAGATTAAATTTACAGGTGATTTTATAAGTAATGGTTAGCCACGAGGTCATCCAACGGTTCAAAAAATAAAACAATAACAACAACAGCAACAACAACAACAACAAATCAAATAGGATATTCCAGCAGATTATCTCATACAATTTCATAGTTTAAATTGTAGTTCAATTTCAAAATTACCATATATTTCTATTATTGTAGTATTGTATTGTATTGAAATTAAGAAATCGTTTGGCTCCAGGACTATAAAATTTACATCCATATCATTTGTTATCTTGAAAAAATATTCTATGCAAGAATAACTGAGAGTCCGTCGATCGCTCAAAATCTCCGGTTTCTTCTAATGTTCTCTCTGGAAGACCGGCGTGGATAATTACATTACAATACGAGAGCCATTAAGGTGTCTATCGTGAATGGGGCCTGTAACGATACATCCACGACAAGTATRCAGTTAAATTACCCGTGATCCACAGCAGGCTCCCATGCAACCAACAATAGAGCCAGCGAAGGATAGAATGGCTCCCAAGGAACTCAAAATAAGCCAAACAAGAATACTGGTAACCATGATCTTCACCTTAATGTCGGAGCAAATTCCAACGTCTAAAAGAAAAATAAAATACTTGAATAAAAGTTTTTGCTTGCTAGGTTTTATTGGGCGTGATAAATGCAACTTTGTGGATAGTGTAGATAGTTCCTACTGTTTCTATGTTAAGAGTGCGCGCCCATCGGACTATATCAAAATGTTAGCTGGCTATCTTTCAAGCAGTTTCTTCATTACCATCTGTCATGTACYATGGCTTGAGAGAAAACATGCAGTTATATGATTGTATGAGTTTCTTTACATGCACTAATCATTCACGATATTACATACTCAGTTTCAGTGATACAGTAAGCATAAAAGAAATGAACGTGCTCAGTGTAATTATATTATTAACCTTTAGGTTTATAATTATAACTTCTATAATTTTAACTCCTCGGTTCAATGCTTTGTTCGTGGTCATTGAACCTGAGTATGKAAAGTCGTTAAGTCGTTAAATTTGGTGGAGCACTGGACAAAACTAACACTCAGCAAAAAGTCTTCTTCACGGTTCCTTGCGCCATCTTGAAAGGTAACCGTGCCTTTACATCGAAGCGAGACAACCGTTGAGCCATGATAGCTTCCTGTGAATAATTGTCTGTAGGTGTGAAAGAATGTTTCTATGCAAAAKGATGCATGCACGACTACCTTTCAAGATGGCGCAAGGAACCGTAAAGAAGACTATTTGCTGAGTCTTGCTTTTGTTTATCATCGCTCCACCAATAACGTKTTCAAACTGTAACTTTATACAATGTCGACATCATTCCTATGTATCTTATGTACCACTGCTCAGGCAAGCTGTGAAGGCGATAGAAAGCGAACGATATATCACTCCAGAAATGATCGCTTGAACTGACGCTAAAATACAAGCAAATATGCAGAAAACAACAAACGCGACCATCTGAAAGAATAAAAGCAGAGCATAAGTTGAGGTATAGTCCAGTCACAGACATTTTATTTAGAAATAAAAAGGAGCAGCGACGTCCTATCGAAACTGAACACTGGATTGACAAAAAGCCTTTTAAATTTTTTTTTTTCCGTGTTGAACGAAGCGTATTGAAGGGACTCGGGGAAAGATGAAAGATTCTGTTTACAGTGCTAAATCGTAGGGTTGCTAAAGAGTACATTATTATTTTCTTTTGAACATATATTTAAGAAAAATGTTTTGCTGCAGAGAATCTAAGCTATTCCGTCTCTCCAGGCCCACACTGAAGCAGTTCAAAAATTCTACTTACCAGCCCCTGACTTCTTGTTGGCCATGTTGCAATCCCCAAGCTTCCTGCTATGATAAGCTATAACAAACAAAAAATCTTCCGTTAGCAGGCAAAAAAACTGCAATAAAAATAACTCAGCTTCCATTGTGCCCCTGATGACCACAATGTACAGTCCCTGTCATTGACTAAACTACTATCGAAATCAACCGCGCAGTCGACATTATTTTACTTTCGCAACTTCAATGAATTTGTTCCTTCCGGGAAACAGACCTCACGCATAATATACAATATGATAAAATACTTAAAATCAACATTCAGAGCGAGGAATTTGAAGATCAACTATGAAAGAATTTGTTCTATATTGGTCGTTGCTTGATTGTTATTTTATGAAAGCAAATGGAGAGATTGTCTGATCGTCTTGTTTCTGAAGAAATTGAAAAGAACAGTGTTCACTCAGCCCACTCTATAAGATTGCCTAAGTTTGACAGTAGCGAACAAGCCACTATATTCGGCTGTCAACCAAATGCGAATTAACATGAGAAATATTTTAAGGATGATAATATAGATTCGATTAATCTTGAGAAGCAAAGAATTCGTTTTTAGAATTATCTCATGAATTCGACATTCCATAAGAGCAGAGCATCTCARTTTGAATCGTAAAACGCAACTTTCGAATTCTGAGTTTAACTACTTTAAAAAAAATATTTTTTCATTGACGTAGAAATACAAGATACACACAAAAACAACATGAACTTGTTGGGCAACAATCATGTTCAAATTTAGCGTGAATGTTTCTCATTTTTCATGTGCTGTTTTCTGTTGTACTGAAGTTACCAGTGTTTCGTTGAGGCAAGGTTAAAAACGAGAAACGTAACGTTGACTTCAAATTTGAACATCAAAAACGTTGCGCGACCATTTAAGTGGTTTTGCATCTCGTATTTCTAGGCCTCTAATTTAAATTTGAGTTTGAATTTGTATTATATACAGCAACTGTAGTGAATTGCAAATTGGCTTTTGAGCAGACAATTCCATAATACAGGAGCAAAATATTGTGTTTTAGATGATACGATTTCTTAGTTATTAACGAAAGTAGGCCTAGCAACAGCTTTTTTAAACGGTCAATAATGCTTTTATTGCTGAATAYAGAGAAGTTGTTTACAACCGTTTTTGGTTCTTCATTTGGAAATAAGCCGATTAAAGCATGGAAGAAGTAAATTACATTTGACCTTGAAAAAAAAAAACCTACCGGAATACCAGACCATAATCCAGAACCATGCAACCAGAAACTGACTACACTGTTAACTATCCAAAGAACACCYATAATGGCGTCTCCAAGTCCACACAACAGAATAAAGATCCCACAGATTCCAGCACCTCTAGCGAGATGTTTCTCCACCTGACCCATTGTTGTCTATTGTTCGTTGTTGYTTTTTTTTCAAACTAATTGAAATATATAGTGGTGWGTGATACCAGCTGACTGACGTCAAGRTCGAACATCAAAAATAAAGTAATCAAAACAGGGATGGTTCTAGGGAAGACTCAACCTATTCCGATTTGTCGAAAGCAACCTAGTCAGATTTATCGAAAGACAAAGATCGAGYTTCTATTTATCTATCGAGCCCTGCGTACACGTATGGGTTTGAGATTGGGCGGGTATATATTCGTGTGACATTTACAACGTTTCCGCATATCTTGGTTGTTTGTCATCATTGAAAACTGTTTATCGCTCCTTTATTATTAGATTAGAAAGGAATTCCTGTTTTAGGTTATCACTGTGAATTCTGTGAATAAAAATTCAAATCAATTCTATAACTATTTCCTTTTTATTGAAAGAATACGCAAACAACAAGGATGTAAACACTGAACACGATTAAGAATACTGGTTTTGTACGCTAAACTGGGTGCATTTCACGGGCTTTTAAAACACATTAGTTTCCAATTCACTAGGTTTTCTTTGTTATTCATAGGGTTGTATATAMCWYDVAAAYTTAAAGCCGGGGAGGGATTTGATATTCAGCAGGGWAATGTGGGGTTGATGAATTGAATTGAATASCTCGTYATAAATTCAGCGGGCTATATTTGAGTGACCGGGATCACTCATATATAGCCCGCTGAATTTATAACGAGTTATTCAGTTCAATTCATCAACCCCACATTTCCCTGCTGAATATCAAATAAACTAAGTAAACTAAAATATTTTTCCCCTAAAAAAGACCAGTGCGGCCAGCAAAACTTGAGGAGATTTAGAGTGTAATAAGTTCGAGTCCCGCAGCTTTTCTTCATATGTTCATCAGAGAGAATAGAGACAACAATAACCAAGATCTTCGTTACTTTTAAAAGAATCTATTCTTCGGAATTAACCAACGTGTACTATGAATCAGAAGTAATGGTGTGACTCGTATTTCTCCGTTCCTCGGTCCATTCTATCCAAGCACGTACAAACGGCCATTTGGTACTTTGGTTTGTTCCTTCTTGAATCCTTCCCTCGTATTTKTTCGAGMGAGTTTAACATMAAAAACTATTGAAATTTTTCTCATTTTTTCCCATCTGCAGACTTTGTCATYGTTATTTGCAGGCAGAGGCATGCGGAGTTSCAAATCCGATAGCAAATCGTCAATATCAAAGTTCGGCRAAGGAATGATGTCAAACGTRTTTTGAGCTATAAACAAATCGTCACTGTTCGACATCATTTCCAGAATGACTGTTAAGAATATTTGATAACAATATTCAAATTTTGATTGCATGAACAGGTTTTCTTAAAGGAAACTAATTTCAACAGTTAATGAAAAAGTCTCAAGAGGAGAGGATTATATTGTTCGAAACCCAACTAAGAAAACATTCATTAAGTCTATTCAGTTTTTGCGAAAACCACGTGAATTGAAACTAAGTTTGTTAGTTACCTCGCACGTCGGCATTACGCTATATACTGCAGCCCTCGGGCCTGCGGCCCTCAGGCTGTATATAGCGTATGTGCCTCCGTTCTCGGTAACTAACTCTTACATAATGTTTTCTTTAGTTCCCTATTCTGGTGCGTGTATGTAAAACTTTTAAACTGTCAATACAACGTTTTTCAGACATTTATAGATAGACGATGCAGATCGTTAATAGACGTCAATCGAAAATATTTGTATGCAGTAATGA